CATTCCTCTTGTACAGTCATCGACTAATGCAAATTTTACTATAATTAATTACATAATTTATTCAGATTATAACCACAAAGTTCTACAAAAAATGCTGTGAAGCGCTTCAGTAGCACGTATGTAGTTCTCTCCTTTCTTTAAAAGCCAAAGATATGAATCAGACATTTACAAAGAATGGATCTAACAAATGAATTTGTAAGTTTGCCAGAAACTGTAACATCCTCTCTCGGATGGGTCAGTTTCAGCATAAGCGATATTCCATAAAAGTGGCCCCAGCACCGAACCTTGTGGCACCCCTCGATAAATTTTGCTCCCGAAGCTGTTCGTGAGTGAGCTATCATGCTATTTAGTAACCAGCCTGATAGCCCTCCTACTTTGTTCTACCTGAATTACGGCACTCTTAAATTTGGGGCACGACATAGTGAGGAGGAGCGACTTTTCTACCTCACACAAATATGATTTTTTGTATTTTGGCATTTATCCTGGAGATGTCCTACTTCTCCGCAATTTAAGCATCGCTTTTCCTCTGGGTGCGCCTTCTCTTCATCTGTGGCCCTCTTCCTGAATCTCCCAGCACTTCTTGCACTCCACTCCTGCCCAATCTACAGAGCGTTACTCGCACCCAAATGCGTAGAAGTGTGTCTAATCTTATCGCTACCCCTTTGTTTGCATAAATCACCTAACCACCTAAAACCATCTAAAGTCTCCACGAGTCTTTAAAGACCTTCAATATTACAGAGGCTCTAGAAACCTCAGTCTTTGAAATTCGGTCCTTAAAAAACCTTTAATCGGCTAAGACTTTGTTGAATGTCCTTTTAGAGATATTATGAGTGTTCAAAGTTCTTTTAGAGCGTTTATAGAGGTCTTTAAATTCATTAAGGCTTTAAGAATCTCGATTCAAACCTTTAAAGGTCAAGCCTTTAGATGTATTTCTTTATCTTAGAGAGTCTTTAAGACGTCTACGAGGACGAATGGACAAAACTCTCAGATGAATTTATAGGTTCACCACAAACCATACTATTTCACCCTAGACGTGTACGTCTCCTCTTAAAGCCTTTATTTGTCCTTAACATTCCTTAATAAGTTTTATCATTAAAAATCTTTAACAACACTTACGGGATTTCTTGTTCATTAAGAATACTGAGGGCTATTCATTAGCCATCAAATGATTTCTCTCCAAAAATGTTCAAAGGTCCCTAAAACCCTTACAGTTACCTAAAGCCTTTAAAAATGCTTTGAGATCTTTGAGAGCTTTGGGAGCGCTCGAAAGGTCGCTGAGAGAATTTGACCTTCCGAAGGTCTACAGGAAACTTCAAGGCCTTATAGTAGCCTTGAGAGTACCCAAAAAGCCTCTAATAGCTTTTAATAGTCACCAAGAGCTTTTGAGAGCGTTTAGTGGCCTTTTACTAGGTTTAAAAATCTGAGAGCCTTTAAGTGTCATTAACGCCTTCTGAAAGCCTCCTAAATGAGCATTCAAAAGCTTTCAAGTGGCTCCCAGACTTATTTAGTACCTTAATACGGTTACAGTGTAACTTTGAAAGCACCTTTATGACTCCTTAAAATTCTACACAGCTTTTGAATGACCTTTGAAACCTCTGGCAGACCTTTATTTAAATGAAGCGCCGGTGTTGTAATCTTTAAGAGACCTAATTTACTCCAGCCCTTGAAGAGTGTAAAAACGTTTCCTAGCGTTAATTAGGCCTTAGATGACTTTAAAGGTCTCTAAAAACTTTTATTCAGCTTTAAACGGTTTGCAAGGGCTTCAACTTGAAAGCCGAACCTTTAAGGGCTTTCTTATAGGCCTTTTAAGAACCTTTGAAAACTTTAAAAGTCTTCAAGAACGTTTAGAAATCTCGGAAACTATAAAGGACACGTTATAAGAGCCCAAAGGGGATTTAACCTTTCAAAATCACTTAATCTTTAAAGACTCCTAAGTCCATTAAAAAACTCTTGAAACTCCTATATCTGTATCCAAATTAAAGTCTTAAGGGTCGCAGCCTTTTAAGCCTTAGCCACTTTCAACTCTTGATTTAGGGTTCAAGATTCTTCTGGAGCTTTCTAAAGTGTGGTCCTACAAAAGCATTTCCAGAACCTGTAAAGGTATTCAAGAGCCTGCATACTTTAAAGGTCAGGAGAGAATAAATTTGAGTCTTTTGTAACTTTTAAGGACCTTTTCGCATTTTATGGCTCAACTTTTACTTGCAAAAGTCAAATTTTGTCGGTTCTGAATTTCTTGGATCCTACAGACCTTTTTCTATTAGATAATGCCCTTTTCCGGCAGAACTTCCAGAGGTCATATGCAATAACAGCTTGTAAGGGCTTCCAAAAATCTCAAAGACTCTTAAAGAGCCCTGAACAGCTTCCATTGGTTTAAAAATGCTTTCGACGGTCTCCAAGAGCTTGCTAGAGGCTTTGAGGGTTTTTGTCTTTGAAATTCCATTACATCCTTCCGGATAACTTTCCTTATGGCCTATTAAAGAGCCTTGAAAACCTTTCACGACCTTCGTTCACGGGTTTTTGTCTCAATTAGTCTTAAAGACTGCACTACACTTTTAGAGACGCCAAGAGGCTTCTCCTGAAGACTCTTTATAAGATTTTATGATTCATTAACGGACTTTTAGTGGCATTTGCAATGTTTAATAGGCCTTTAAGAGTGGCCTTCATTTTTAAGAACCTTTGGTAACCTTCTTTTAAAGATCTAGAGCATTATTACACTTTTCTGTTATTGTGTCGACAATTACACCCCATTCATTAAATAAACGTTCTCTTTCTCTCCCTGTAAAGAGTCTCCAGAGGTTTCCAAGATAATCCAACGGATCCCTCTATTCATCTTTTAGAGAAGTTAGAAGTGGACTTTAAAAATCCTCAACGCGCAGTCGGAATATTTCAGATCATTTGAGCCTTAGAAGCTTTATCTTTATGTAATTATTATAGCAAGGGGAGATCCTGATACAAGCATCAGAAGGGAGATTGTACTAGGAGAACACAAATCATGAGGAGTTGGCTGCAAATTCAAAATATGAGAAATTTGTATCAGGAGAGTATAATATGTGAATATTTATTGCCAATCTGTTCTCCTAATACCAAGAGAGCACACCTTATCAGGGGTTTGTCAAACTGTTTTGGCTTTAATATGATTTTGGTACAACTATTTAAGAGAGAAACTTAGGTGACTGCCGCCTTGCTGTTTTTCTGTGATCCTGATACACTTTTAAAGGATAAATTAATTGGCATCATGACAACGCAATGAACGAAAAGGAACCCTACGAGCCTCAAAAATTTTTAACGATCTATTCCCTAATCAACCTAACCCTAAGCCTAATCAATTCGAAAGTGAGTTTTTGCATCTCATCCAGAACACGGTACTTCTTTAATACGATCACCCCAATGTTCGTAACGTAGAAAGAAAAATATATCCAAACACTCCAATGCCAAAATCAAACCCAAATCCATTTAATTGAAACGTACGTACCCCATTAATAAATGGGTTTCGGATTGCGATATAGGTAAAAGAAAGGTTGGTAAATTAATTAAAACATATGGCACAATCTAAAAAGAAATGTGTTAACAGAGAAGGAATCCTATGAAGATTATTTTATCTCAAGAGGATACAGCTCTTCTTAAAGACGCTTAGATAATTAATTTAAACAATGTCAGTCGTAGAATTTTGATTGGAAGTGTGTGTGGGGGGGGGGGTTTAGTCTGTTGCATTGAGCCCAGTGGAACCTCGCAAGTGATTCGTCAGACGCTGAATTTCCCTTTCTTCAAGAATAGAAGATAGACGAGGGGGGCGCGTTACCTGGGACTGTGTCTCCGATACAACAGTCGTCCGGGTTGCGAGACGCAGGGGGGCAGTGTAGCGAATATTTCAGAAATCCCGATAGACATCGAGTCATCGGCGATAAGAACAAAGGCGGATGTGTTGTAATCTTTCCGGAAAATGTCACGTATTTTGTTCAAGAATGTTCGCGACCACTCGGGAACACTCGGATTGCGATACACGACAGTTCTATTTTCGACGCTGAAGTAATAAATGGTTCACGATTAAATATTTTTTTATTATTATGAATCCATTCATTGCAAAATTTATTGTTAATTATTTGTAAATAAATAAACGCCATATTTAAATTTACTTTACATTATATACACAGTTTCTTTTAGGGGAATTTTTCGAAAAAATTTCTCTTACTCCATGGTTTTGTCCGTTCCTCGTCTAACTCGAGATCGAAAACATACAGCAATGTCAAACCTCCAATCGATTTCTACAATTTCAAGGATCAGTGTTAACGAATGCGAGCCGAGTGGCAAAAAATTCCTCTTCTGAAAACCGTATCCGACTCTTCGTTTCGTTTATATTCCAATCGGTTTTATTGTTCAATCTCAGTCTTAGGATAGAACAACTTGCTCATTAATTCTTCGTTTTTTATTCATATTTTAGTTGGCAGATTCCGGCGGTTATATTTTTTTGGGTTCTACAATTCAAAATTCTTGCTCAATAATGTCCAGTTCTCTACCATCTTCATCTCATATTTCCTCCTTTCTTCTTTCGTCATTACCATATCAAAAAAACGAATGAAACAATTAGGTAGAAGAGGAAACCAGCACATAGAAAGAGAAAGTATCGTGGAGAACGACCTACGATGGAGACTAGGAAACACAAAATAGAAATTAGATTATTTATTATTTGAAACGCAGTAATCTGTAGACCTTCAGATAGTAAGTGTCAATAAGATCCATGTCAATTGGTCAGTTTTAAAAACTGACCTTTGCCATAGATTGTATCGAGCACATTTCAAAATCACCAATTTGGAGAGGAGCAATGTGACGTACTCGGATCTTCCTAGGCGATGACCCCAACAAAGAACCCAAATCGGATGTGGAACTACAATCGGTAAAAAAAAAAAGGTAAATAACCTGCCTATTCAGCCAAAATCATGAATAAGCGGCTTCGGATTTACTTCGTAATAATACGATGACGCTCACTATAGTTTAGATTAGGAAATACCAGTTGAAGTCTGGGACGTTTTTCCCAGGCCAAGCCAGTATTTACTTAATATAACCGCGTTAAGTAGGTAGTACTACAACGTTGTCGATTATTAGTAAATAAACACTGGCCCAAATTATAGTTGAGGTGCGCGGAAAGTGTAACGATGTTACTTTTTTTAGTCTTTCTCACGTGTAGTAAGTTGTTTATTGGAATGCGTGTCGACCTCGGCTTTGTTGGTAACCGGTTTTTTTGTTTCTAGGCTATTTGTTTGCGAACTTTGCGAATGGCGGAACGTACGCCGAAAATTACTCCGAGTTTCGTCGCACGCGGTTCTGCAAGTAAGCCATTTTGTCTTTGAGTGTGTGTTGAGTTAAAAATTTTCCGGCAGTGAGTCGTCGTTCCGTTGCGATTCGGGGGAGTGCATCACTGAGGATCACCTTTGCGATGGGACAGTGCACTGCAGGGACGGCTCGGACGAAACGAGGGACTGTTTCAATATTATACCGTACGTTGCGAGAAAAGTGGGCCCTAAGCTAATTCGAAGATTTCCAGATGTGCCAGTGATTTATTGTTCCAATGCGATTACGGTGCTTGTATAAACAAAGCTCGACAATGCGATGGGACGCCCGATTGCAAGGATAAGTCGGACGAGACGGCATTGGCGTGCAAAAAATGCGGGTGAGTTCTCCAACCATAAGGGAATAGTTGGCAAACTTTGCAACACTCCCGAAATCTCAAATTAGGTCGACTCCTTTGCTTTTCCAAACTACATCAAATCTCGTCACGGTTACGGTTTCGGGCTTATCGGACACGATTTTATCGAGTGTTCGGTATGACGTCATTGGATCGATATGGGTTAGAAATTGTTCTGCGAAAATTGACGAACTTGGAAAACCACATTATCAAATACCAATGGACCCTCTGCACATCTTCATTTACTACATGTTCCACCTAGCCCTGTGCTGGTTTTGGGTGTCCAGAGTTATTAAGTTGTTTACAGTAGAAGAGGCAGCTCCTGGACTATAAAACACATGTTTTGAGCCCAGTCGGAATAACTCATCGGCTTTCTCATTACCTTCCTTCCATTCCAGCATGCTCTTTGATTCTTGCGAGCTCAAGGGTGTTGCTGCTTAATACTTGCTCCAGTGCATGGTGACATTTGGAAACCAAGCTCACTGGAAATTCTGATAGTTTTGCTCGTTATGTTATGCATAAGTGACGTTTTTATACTGGGACTGAACCTAAATTTAGTGCTGTGGTCATGAGCTTTTGCGCCAAAAACGAAAAGTTAAGTTAAGCGACATTTTTTGAGACAAAGTGAAATTTAGCGCTCTAATTGTACCCAAAATTCAATGGTCCCGTTTTAAATTGACATTTTCCATGCAAAGATACTGTTTTTATACTGTGATTGAACCTAAATTTAGTGCTTTGGCCATGAACTTTTGCGCGAAAGAAGAAAAGTTAAATTAAACGACATTTTTTTAAGGTAAAGTGAAATTTAGCGTCCTAATTGCAACCAAAAATCAATGGTCTCCTTTTAAAATGACATTTTCCATGCAGAGGTACTGTTTTTATACTGGGAATGAACCCAACTTTAGTGCTTTGGGCATGCACTTTTGCGCCAAAAACGAAAAGTAAAATTAAGCGACATTTTTTTAAGGTAAAGTGAAATTTAGCGCCCTAATTGCACCCAAAATTCAATGGTCTCGTTTTACATTGACATTTTCTATGCAAAAATACTGTTTTTATACTGGGACTGAGCCTAAATTTAGCGCTTTGGCCATGAACTTTTGCGACAAAGAAGAAAAGTTAAATTAAACAGAGCTGGGCAGTATTCGATTTTGTAAATACTTTTTAGTATTCAAATCCTTCAAAGTATTCAAATACTTTGTAATTAAATACTTTTATGGAAGCAGTATTTGTTTTTGTAACTCAAATACTTTCACAAATATTTAGTATTCGAATACTTCGCAAGGTATTTGAATACTTTGAGAAGTATTCGAATATTTCGCATAGTATTTTTTACCAAAAATCGACTGCACCAAAATTTCTCGGGAAAACACTTTTTCTTATTAATTTTGGTGCGTAGAATCCAAAACAATTCCTACTTTTTCGATCAGACTTCTCAATCAAAAGTTATAGACTAGAAACCAATTTCGAAAGAAAATTCAAAGGGCTGTAACTTTTGAACTAGTAGCCCAATCTTGGAACTGTTTGAAATTATGGATTCTACAGGCCACATTCTATAAGAAAATTTTTTTTCCGGGTCGATCTGAGACAATTTTTTTTTCGGGCCTCAAAAAAGGCAGTGTATAACCTTCCTTTTTTACCAAAAATCGACTGCACCAAAATTTCTCGGGAAAACACTTTTTCTTATTAATTTTGGTGCGTAGAATCCAAAACAATTCGTACTTTTTCGATCAGACTTCTCAATCAAAAGTTATAGACTAGAAACCAATTTCGAAAAAAAATTCAAAGGCCTGTAACTTTTGAACTAGTAGCCCAATCTTGGAACTGTTTGAAATTATGGATTCTACAGGCCACATTCTATAAGAAAATTTTTTTCCGGGTCGATCTGAGACAATTTTTTTTTCGGGGCCTCAAAAAAAGGCAGTGTATAACCTTCCTTTTTTACCAAAAATCGACTACACCAAAATTTCTCGGGAAAACACTTTTTCTTATTAATTTTGGTGCGTAGAATCCAAAACAATTCGTACTTTTTCGATCAGACTTCTCAATCAAAAGTTATAGACTAGAAACCAATTTCGAAAGAAAATTCAAAGGGCTGTAACTTTTGAACTAGTAGCCCAATCTTGGAACTGTTTGAAATTATGGATTCTACAGGCCACATTTTATAAGAAAATTTTTTTTCCGAATCGATCTGAGACAATTTTTTTTGCGGACCTCAAAAAAAGGCAGTGTATAACCTTCCTTTTTTACCAAAAATCGACTACACCAAAATTTCTCGGGAAAACACTTTTTCTTATTAATTTGGGTGCGTAGAATCCAAATCGATTCGTACCTTTTCGATCAGACTTCTCAATCAAAAGTTATAGACTAGAAACCAATTTCGAAAAAAAATTCAAAGGGCTGTAACTTTTGAACTAGTAGCCCAATCTTGGAACTGTTTGAAATTAAGGATTCTACAGGCCACATTCTATAAGAAAATTTTTTTCCGGGTCGATCTGAGACAATTTTTTTTTCGGGGCTCAAAAAAAGGCAGTGTATAACCTTTCTTTTTTACCAAAAATCGACTGCACCAAAATTTCTCGGGAAAACACTTTTTCTTATTAATTTTGGTGCGTAGAATCCAAAACAATTCGTACTTTTTCGATTTGACTTCTCAATCAAAAGTTATAGACTAGAAACCAATTTCGAAAAAAAATTCAAAGGGCTGTAACTTTTGAACTAGTAGCCCAATCCTGGAACTGTTTGAAATTATGGATTCTACAGGCCACATTCTATAAGAAAATTTTTTTTCCGGGTCGATCTGAGACAATTTTTTCTTCGGGGCTCAAAAAAAGGCAGTGTATAACCTTCCTTTTTTTTACCAAAAATCGACTACACCAAAATTTCTCGGGAAAACACTTTTTCTTATTAATTTTGGTGCGTAGAATCCAAAACAAATCGTACTTTTTCGATTAGACCTCTCAATCAAAAGTTATAGACTAGAAACCAATTTCGAAAAAAAATTCAAAGGGCTGTAACTTTTGAACTAGTGGCCCAATCTTGGAACTGTTTGAAATTATGGATTCTACAGGCCACATTCTATAAGAAAATTTTTTTCCGGGTCGATCTGAGACAATTTTTTTTTCGGGGCTCAAAAAAAAGCAGTGTATAACCTTCCTTTTTTACCAAAAATCGACTACACCAAAATTTCTCGGGAAAACACTTTTTCTTATTAATTTGGGTGCGTAGAATCCAAATCAATTTGTACTTTTTCGATCAGACTTCTCAATCAAAAGTTATAGACTAGAAACCAATTTCGAAAAAAAAAAACGAAAAGTTAAGTTAAGTGACATTTTTTACGATAAGGTGAAATTTAGCCCCCTAATTGAACCCAAAATTCATGGTCTTGTTTTAAACTGATATTTTTCATCTAAATATGCTATTTTAAAGCTGGGATTAATCCCTCATTTTCTATCAAGTCTTGTACCTTCTTCCATTTCTGTGTTCCTGGCACTACGATAATAGACTGGTAACAGGAAAACATAATATTCGTCTAAAGAGAAATTTTCTGCAATCCCTATACAACGTTATGGAGGAGGCAAATTTGTATCACTGTGCCTGCGGCAGCTACTCTGATAGTGAGTCTAATCTCGGCGAGAGTACTCGGTGGGGTGGGAGGTTAACAATGGCCTAGGCGAACATTCCGTGAGTAAATCTTCCGTCAGCTTCGGAGGCATATAATTGGACGTTCTTGTGTTTCTGTTTCCCTTTCTGTCAACCGGATGCGACAAGGGTTAAATATACTCTTTTAGAAGGAGAGCATGATAAGCAGAGTTGGACTGGGTCACTGGGTCAACTGGGTCACCTGGGTCACTAAATTAAACTGGGTCACTGGGTCGCTGGGTCACGTCATACTCTTTTCAGTTAGACCCAGTGACCCAGTTTGACCCAGTGACCCAGTTTGACCCAGTGACCCAACTTGACCCAGTTTGACCCAGTGACCCAGTTTGACCCAGTGACCCAGTGACCCAGTTTGACCCAGCTACCCAATTTCACCCGGGGACCCAATTCGACCCAGTCACCTAGTTTGATCGAATAACGCAGTTAAGTCAGTGCCCTCGGTTCAAGTGTACAGATTATGAAATCACAGATATTTTATCTGTGATGAAATAAATGAAATGCTGGTTTGTTAAAAATAGTACTCGATTGCTTGACAACTGCCATTTCTGTGATGTTTGCTTTAATACTGCCGTAAAAAACTTTCCATGTCCCGAATTGTATTAGAATAATGTTATTTCTTTGCTTCAGGGCTTACCAGTTTGCTTACAGATGTTCATTCACATTTAATTTTTTTCTACTAGTTAGCTTAATCCAAATAAATCTTTTCTCTAACTACTTTCATTGACTACTTGACTACAAACTCTAAACAAATGCATTTGATTTTTTTAGGTATTAGTTCTCTTGAATGAAATTGGGCTACGTGCTTGTTGCCGAATATTATTGAGGAAGTTTTTTTTTTAATTAAAAGTTACCTGAAATTGTTTTGGATGATACCTAACAATAATTTAATTACTGGGCCACCGGGTCAAGACGGGTCACTGAGTAAAGCTGGGTCAAGATGGGTCACTGGGTCAAGCTGGCGTCACCGGGTCAAGCTGGGTCACCGGGTCAAGCTGGGTCACCGGGTCAAGCTGGGTCACCGGGTCAACTGGGTCACCGGGTCACTGGGTCACCGGGTCCCTGGGTCAGTAAACTAACTGGGTCACCGGGTCACTGGGTCACTCTATGCTTGACCCAGTCCAACTCTGATGATAAGTGGGACCCTATCAACTAATACATGTTTGTGTTTGTGCTGTTGTATTATAAGGCATGCAGAATGAGACGGTGTTTTGGGACATTCTTGCGTTTCTGAGACCCTCCCCCCAACTATCCCTTCATTTGTGTTTTGTGTTCTTTTTATGTACTGCTTTTTTGTTTCTTCAATGTCGCTTCCTCTCAACGCCGCTTCTTTGTGTTTTTGTTGTCCTCGTCGATCATCACAACTGAACACGATTTCCTCTTGCAGGCGGCGAGAGTTTCGATGTAGCTCAGGCGAATACATAGACGCAAGTTCGCTATGCGACGGCACGGCCGATTGCTGCGATAAATCGGACGAAACGGCCGACGCTTGCGCGAGCTTTGTTTGTCCGTCGTACACGTTTCGCTGCGATTACGGCGCGTGCGTTCACAAACGGTCGCAATGTAACGGGCGTCGCGACTGCGCCGACGGCTCAGATGAGGAGCGCTGCGGTCGCACCCGACTGCCGTTCTTAGGGTGGGCGTGGGACGAGGATAGACGCGGAGGTTATACTTTCTGATTGTCTTTGCAGGCGCGGCGACTTCGTCTGCGATTCGGGGCAGTGCATCAGTTCGGAGAATGTGTGCGATGGCTCAATCGACTGCAAGGATCGCTCCGATGAGACTCCAAAGGTTTGCGAGAAGATGGTTTGCCCGCGTTACAGCTACAGGTGCAAGTATGGGGCGTGTGTGAACACCAAGAGGCGATGCGATGGAGTTATCGACTGCATTGATGGGTCTGATGAAACCGGGTGCGCATATGCTACCGTTCCACCTCCAACGTAAGTAGCCCGAGTTCGAACCTCACAGCCGAAAGAACTTTTTTTTAAGCCCCAGCACAAAGTGCGCTTTGTACGAGTTCAAGTGCGACAGCGGCGAATGTATCAACGAAGGGGACATTTGCAATGGCAAGAGGGAGTGTGCGGATGGATCGGATGAAACTTTCGAATTTTGTGCGTATAGACGTTGCCCGCACAACACTCTCAAGTGCGACTACGGCGGATGCGTGCCCATTTCCGCTGTTTGTGATGGCACGGCGAACTGTTGGGACGGTTCAGATGAGAAGAACTGCCCACCTCAACATTCCTCAGATGAAGACGAAATTGGTTGCGTTATTCCCAAAAACCCAGATCACGGCGAACATCAGATAGTCAGATCTGGTACAGGTGCTTTGAACAGGAGGGCTAAGACCGCCCCTACCTTCGCCGTGTTGCGAACGAAGTGCGATGAGGGTTACGCTCCAACCCCTCCAAAGGAGGGGAGTCTATCCATTTGTGCTTCTGGGACGTGGACACCTGCCCCTGTCCATTGCACGCGTAAGTGCCTCTGTCCCTGGCCATTTGAAACTATTTGTACCATTTCAGGTACATGTCCAGCACTGGTTTCGTCCGCTCATACCGAGTGCAAGTACGAGAACACCCCACTCAAATCGTGCACGAACGCTGTTCACGGGACGGTGGCGATGACTCCTTGTGCCGACGTATCACTCAGCTTAATGCAGGTGTGCGGCAATGGAAATTGGGACATACCAGTCACTCGGTGCATCCCCAACGCGCCAACGAACACAAACGGAACTGTGATCAATATATTCTACATATACAAGGACAAAGACAAGCGCTGATCAGTTCAAATTTAGAGGGAGATTTATGTATCGAATTAGCACGTTCGTCTGAGGATCGTGCAGCCAATAAAGATTTTTTTACATAATAGTTCATTTTCAAGCACTAGTACCCCCTCCCCCGAATCTCAACTGTAAGCTTGAAAAGCCCGAACGAGGGTCAAAGTTACCTTTCCCATGGGTGGGACCTTGCTGGCAAAAACTCTTCAGCTTCCCATATACGTCCAGAGGCATTAATCTTCACAATGCGTGCAATGCTTCGACCTTGAAAACTGAACCTTTAAACTAAACCTTCAAATCAAAATCCAACAGGGTTGCTTTTTGCATCCAAAACTTGCCACCGCAACTTGAGACTGAATTTTGAATCCTATAATTTGGAGCAAAACGGTTAAGGTCTGGGTAGACAGCTTTGAATTCTTATTATAAGCCCTGAAACCGGAACCAAAAGCTCAAAACTGGAAACTCAAGCTAAAATGCTAAACCCTCAAACTGTAATCGTGACACCCCGAGATTGAAATCCTAAACTCTTAAGTCTTGAAACCTGAACCCTAAACAAAATCCTGAACGTTAGTACATTTTGTAATTGTCCCTCTTAACTAACCCCCAACCCCTTTTTTTTTCTTCTTACACAGTTCGTATAAGTTATGATTTCCACTGTAGCCCTTCATTCATTCACGGAGGGTAATCCTCGACGAAACTTCCTCCGAGAAAACTCGGACGTAATCAGTATAAAGTGGGGTCCCCGTAACCGTAAACCCAGTTCTTTACGCGTAAGCCCTCCTGAATTACAAGCGAGCCGTTGTCCCAGATTCACTCGAATCCCGTCCTCGCGAAAGATCAATAACGCAGTATGCGTTACGTAACGCAAATTTCGCGCCCTCATCTCGATTCCTCTGGCGCCATCTGTCGCGCGATCGGCGAACGCGTCGCCGTCGTAAAGGAACGGTTCGCGCCCGCGCTTGAAAAATCGTTAAATCGTCGCGCGGTTTTTTTGAAATTTGAAAAAAATTGGCGACTTACCCCAGCGTCTTTGTGGAGATGAGCGGCGTCTTCAGGCTGAGAAATCCGTTCAGCCTGCTCTTCTTCTCGCGGACGCCCTCGTTTTTGGGCGTGCTGTCCGCCGTAAAATCGTCCTCCTCGTCCTCGTCGCGCTTGCGACGCTTCTTGTGGTAGATGTAGCACGCGGCTCCGATGGCCGCTATCAGAATTAGCGCGGCCAAGCTCGAGAAGACTGCAGTTAGGATAATGTCCCGTTTCTGCATCATTAACTGAAACAAGAGAAAGGGATTTTGACTTAGACATTCTGACTTAACATAATTATTTGTTGACTTCGATATAATGTAAACATTTTCAAGATATTTCTGACTGTACCTAAAAATTCTGAATTAATTGAACGGAGAAGTTGAAGTCAGAATGGCAGAGTCGAGTCAGGAAATACTTAAGGCAACATAGCCCCTTAATGTTTTACCTCTGACTTTTAAACTCAAAAATTCTGACTTGAAAATATATTTATATTAAATTGACTTTGTCCAGAGAGAGCCGGAGTTTTCGGGATAATATCAGAATGTTCGATTTTAGATTTGAAATTTTCTTGAAGAATAACTTACTCTGACTTTAACTAGATAATTCTGACTTAAACACCTTTATCTAAATCTGGAATTTTTGATTTTATGTTGTAAAACAGAAAATCGCGAGTGTATCAAGTCGGAATTCTGACTTAGACAAAAATCCTGACTTGAGGGTAGTTCTAGAAAAACTGAATTCCTTTATCTAGGACTATTTGGACACCTGAATGGCACTACAGAGCTCTTTAAATTAGCAGAAAGAGCGGTACACAGCCCCCCAAACGTTTTCCAGTGCGTTTTTCCGGAGCTTTTGGTCATTTCCAGAACTCCTCTGCGACTTATTATAAACAACTTATCAATTTTTTTAAGTGTTCGCCCCCTGAAAGAGGAAACTACAGAGCTCCAGACATCTGTAAGGAGATCAAGGTCTCTTAAAGGTTCTCCAATACGTTCAAAACTCTTACCGACCCTTTTGGTGCTTCCCAAAGCCCGTGTCCTCTAAGAATCCTTCCAACAAACCTAATGTGCTCACCAAATCAGTAAGAAAGCCAAGGAGTTTTCCACAAGAACGCTTTCAGGAGCTTACAAGGTTTTACAGAGCCTTTTTACTTCTCAAGGCTTTCCTCTGCCGTCTGACCACTTAGTTTCTCCGACCCCTGAAAGGAAACCACAGAGCGTTCACATTAAGTGGGTAGCTTAAAGAGCTTTCCCCAGCCCTTAAACGTTTCAGTGCGTTTAATGACCTTACAGACCCTTTTTGTGCTTTCCAAAGTTTTCCTGTAGACCTAAGCGATTTATCTCGGTTCCTAGGCCCCTGAAAAAGAAACTTCTGCTCCATCTAAGCGATTTATCTACTGCTAAACGGGAACTATAGAGCTTTCCAAATAGGCAAGGGGGTTAGGTAGCTTCTCACAACCCCCTAAAGGCTTTCCAAAGAGTTTAAAACTAGTACTGAGACTGTGGTGACGTTCGAGCTCCCAAAAGTATCTCGAAACCAGTATAAGAAGCTCGAAGAGCTTTTCAGGACCCCTAATAAAATCTGTCCCAAAACGTCCAATCCTTTGGAGTTTTCCTGAGCGAACTCCTCGAAAGGACCTACAGAACTCTTGAAGTCAGTAAGGAGGTTAGGGGGTTTTCCGAACGGTTTCCAAAGCTGTTACAGGAACTTGTGGCGTTTCCGTGAGCTTTTACAGAATCTGTTAGTAATTCCCATGGTTTCCTACGGTATCTAAGTAATTTATCTAGAACTCTCGGATGTCTGAAGGGCTCTACATGGTTCCCAATATTTATAAGGGGCGTCTCTCAGCCTTCCAAAGGTTTTCCAAAGCGTTCAAATCTCTTACGGGACCTTTTGCTGCTTCCCAAAATTTTCGTGCACCATATGAGCATGACCCCTACACGTTTTCCAAAGCAATCATTGCCCGTACAGAACCTCTTTGGGCTTGCCAGAGACTTCTCGCTCCATCTAAGCGATTTACCTACCCCCAAATGGAAACTATGGAGCTTTCGAAATCAGTAAGGTTAGGTAGCGTTCCACAGTACCCTAAAAGCTTTCTATGGCATTTGAAATAATTACTGAGCCTTTTGGTGATCTTCGACCTCTTAAAAGAATCTACAATAAAGAGATTGAGGAGCTTTCCAGGACCCCTAAATTTTCTTCAAGGTATAACACTTTTACGGAAGCTTTTGGCGCGTTCCTAAGCTTTCTTGCGCTATCTACGAAATTTTACTGAATTCGTCGATTCATCGAAAGAACATAGAGAACTCTGGAACTCAGTAAGAAGGTTGAAGAGCTTTCCAGAGCTTCTATACGTTTTCCAAAGCACTTACCTGGGATTTTAGCTATTGCTTGAGTTTTTCTGCACCATCTAGGCATTTTATCTCGGTTATTCGGTATCCTCAAGACACCTGCATGGCTTTCAAAATTATCCAAGGGGTTCTACAGTCTCGTAATCGGTTTCCAGAGCGTTCAAAGCATTTGTCTACGTTCTTCCATTCCCATTCCATTGCCATTCCTGGAGCTTGCAGAGAAAATACTCGGAGCCGAAAACGCATTGAAAGCTTCTTAAACGTTTGCCACTGAAGAGACTGAGAGGGGCGGATGTCTCCGAGCTGCAGAAGCGGGCAATCCCCTAGCGCAAGAGATTCAGAAGAGCAAAGAAGTAAAAGAGGAAGGGTGGTTTGAGGTGGTTAGGAGAGCAAGAAAGTCTTAAGATCACTGGAACAAAGGAAAGCCGAGGCAGAGATAAAGAAGAGAGTGAACTGAGGAGAGGGGATGGAGGATGTTAAGGAGGAGATAAGAAGGGCGGCTGAAGAGACAAATGGGTAAAATGAAAAAATGAAAGGGCAGATGACGGAGGAAATGAGAGGATTAAGGGAGGATAAGAAAAAAGAAGAACTTGTAGAATGGATAGACGAACTCGAAGAAGAAAATGAGAGAAAAGAAAGAGAAAAAACAAAGAATAACATAACGATTAAGGGAGTAGGGATGGAAAGAGGGAAAGAGAGAAGGCGAGAACAATTGAAGTTGGGGGAAATGAAGTAGGTAATAGTCGCGGAAGCCTGAGAAAAGAAGGTTATGGGAGGTAGGAGAAAGATAAAAGGAAGCAGCATATACATATAGATGATAAACTGACTTATGAAGAAAGAAGGGTTCAGAAAGAAATTAAAGAGATAGCGGTGACAGAAAGAGGTAAAGCAAGAAGAGAGATGGAGATATAAGAGATTAGTGGTGAAAGATGTAGAATACGTTGGAGTAACAAACAAAAAGGATTAGTAGAAAACGTGGGAGAGAAAGGCAAGGTTTAGGGGAAGATTTTAATAAGAAAAGAGATGACGGGTGGGGGGGGGGGGAAGGAGACAGGTAAGAACAGAAGAGGGAAGGAGCAAAGCTGGGATGAGTAACATAAAGATGTTGTTCTGGAATGTCGTGGAGATAGTAAGTAAAAGTAAATTCTGGGAGTTTGTCAGAGAATATGACGTGGTGTGGTGGGGTTGGTAGAATCATGGATAGAAGAAAAGAGCTGGGAGAAAATAACGAATAGGTTACCAAATGAATACAGATGGAAGAACTAATTCGCAAAGGGAGAAAACAATAAGGGAAGAGCAAAAGGAGGCATTTTGACAAGGGTAAAAGAAGACAGTGGGAATGAAACGAAAGAGGAAGAAAGCATACAGGAAAGACGAGTGGAAGTGGAGGGAAAGGAATGTAAATAAATTAGAAAATATTATAGATGAAGCGGAGGAGAGGCTAATAGTGGGGAAGAGGAACACAAGATAGAAAGTTAAGAGATAAAGAATGCAACAGAGGGGGAGTTGTTACTGGAATTAACGGAAAAGAGAGGTCGGAGAATATAAGATGGAAGCGTGGAGGAAGATATGAATGGGCAATGCACATACATGGGAGAGAGAGGGAGGTCGATAATTGATTACGCACTATAGTAAACGGAAAAATGAAGCAATAGAAGATTTTAAGGAAGGAGGGCGGAATCGGATCAGCAACCGATGGGAATAAAGCTAACAGGGAAGATAAAAAGAGCAATAAATGGAAATATTCAAAGAAGAAAGGAGATACAATTATGGACAAAAGACGTACACGTTGGGGGATTATAGATGGGAACTAGAAGTGCAAGTATACGAAAAGAGTGGAAAAATATGAAGGAGAGTATTAAAAAGGCAATAACATGGAAACATACAAAGGAAGAGGTAGGGAGGCATAAGAGAAAGGAGGGGTGAGACAGAGAGTGTACAAAAGAGAGAAACAGATACTTAACAATGATGGGGAGAGAAAGAAAGGGAGAGATAGAAGGAGGAGGTTGTGAGAAAATTGAAAAAATAGGACAAAAGAATATGTAAGGAAATAATAATAACTACCGGCATATAGAATCTACGCGATGGTATAAAAACTGAATGCAAGATTGGAAAGAGAGATTTGGAGGAAACGCAAATGGGCTAAAAGAAATGTCAAATGTTTTCAATGACACATACAATTTATTGAAGTCTCTGGTTTTAGAGAGAGGAGAGAACTCCGACGGCTTCAAAAAGATTTCCAATATGAAACGCTTTCAGAACTGTTCGTGACTTTCAAAGATCGTAAAAGAGTGTTAGGGCTTTTAATGGTCTGAGGCTCCAAAAGACTTTTCTGGACGCTCCCAACACGTTTCCTTGGAAACGGAGGAAAGCAGCTGGAAAGATTGAAGGCCGGTGAAGATGGTTAGCTAAGATGGTATAGTCTAAAGGTTGTAAAACGAGCCTAAGGAAAAGGCGTTTTTCTTATCTTCTCTTACACCCTTGACCTGTTTAAAATGATTCTGATTACGTTTTCTTCGCGGTTCCTTCAAGTTTCACTGTTATATATGGCCTTTCCCTGATCTTTTACGCTTTCTCGACGCTCTTTTTAAGCCTTATTAACGGCTCTGTTCGCTTCAACAGTTGTCAAGAATTTCAAGAACTTTTAAATGCCTTAAGAGCGTGAGAGGTGTCCTTGAGCTTCCAAAGGTTTTAAGGAGCCCCCAAAAGACTGCAACTATCTTCTATAAAAGCCTCTATATCACTAAACCTAAAACAACTTTTAAGGGTCGCATGCAGTTTCAACGTCTTGCAAAAACCGCAAAGGATTTCCATACTCACTCTCTTCTCACCTTTTGAAAGTAGCCTTTACGAAAGTGTGAAAGACTCTAATGTCCTGCTAGAGCTATTCAAACGCCTCCTAAAGGATCCTAGGCTTTTCTTCAAATCAACAATTGCAATAGTCGCCAACAAGCATCTTCTGGAGCTGGCATTTAGGGTCCTTTAAAGGTCAACAGAGTTTAAAAGAACCTTCTTCCACTTTAAAATTCCTTACGGTTCCTTAACATTCCTTAACGCGCTTTTAGGAGACACCATTCAGGAGCGTTTAGAGGGGTTTAAAAGCCATCAAAGTGCTTTATGGGTCGCTTAAAGTGTTCCTGAGCATCTAAGGATCATCGGACCCTAACCTTACGTTAACCTAGAATACATTTAGGAGACTTTGGAAGGCGCTTTTTGCTTTCTAGTACCTACCAGTGGTTTTTAGGTTCTTTGCAGGTACAGTAGAACCTGAACAATTCCATAAAGGACCTACGACGACACTCCCATTAGGAGAAAGTAGTGGAAGATACTTCAAATTTAAGAAAGACGTTAAAAAAGCTCCTGACAGGGTATAGAATTCCAGCGGTTGTCTAAGTCCTGTAAGACATTTAAGGGGCAGGCCCTTCGCGGCTTTCGAGGCCGGTCCAAGTTGTCAAATGTAGCTCTTTAGTGACGTTTAATACCTATTCTGGAAAGTGTGACTGATTTGTAGACCTTTTCGGCCTTCGAAGAACCGGGTCTCAGTTTTCAGATTTTCAACAGCATTCAAAAGACATAGAGAGGAGATTTTTTAAAAATCTTCTTGGGTCATTAAGAACCTTTTCAACACTTTCTAAACGATTCAAAGTATTTACAATAATTAATACTTTAGGAGATTTGGGCTTCGGAGAATTTGAAGAACCTCTAAGGCTAACACCAAGGGCCTTTTGGACTTTTTAATGGTGCCTTCCAAAAACCTGCACGAGCCTATAAGAAGTTTTTTAAGGGTTTATAAGCACCTTTAAGATCCTTTTGAGTCTGCAAGAGACGCCAAAGTCTTTTACATGCTTTGAGAGCCTTTAAATAAAGGTCACTAAGGGCGTTCAGAAATGCTTAATAAGTTTATGGGAGTTTGATGAGCATTAAAAATGTTTTGTGGGTTCGTGAAATTCCCTCCTCTCCATAAAATCTGACACACGAATTGTTGTGAGTCATTGGGAGCTCTTGAGATGGTTTTTAAGAAAATCCTAATAACCCTAAGAGTCTTTAAACATGTTACAGAACTTTGAAGGGCCGAAATCTTTAACAGTTTTAGAGTGCTTAAAGGGCCCCAAGGGTCTCTAAGGGTCTCCTAGAGGCCTTTGGTCCTTAGTTGCAAGATTTTTCATTCAACCTCAACAATTTCAACAATAGGAATTTTTTGGTTTGTGAATTTATGGCTTTTAAAGAGTTTTGCTAGAAAGGTCTTTAAGAAACTTTAAAGGGTCATCAATTGTTTTCTTCCCAAGAATCTTCATTCATCCTGACAGATATGAAAGATGTTAGCAGCAGGTCTTCAGGGATCTTCGAGAGCCTCTTTAATTGGATTCAGTAACAACTTATCAAAGTCCTTGCGAGCCTTTAAAATGTTATGCTTTTACCCTTTATGGCCTTCGCCATTCTGAAACCTTGTATTTAGGTATGGGCTTGAAGAATGTTTAAGAGGTAAACCTGTAAGAAGCTCGATGGACCATAAGGGGCTTTTAAGAGTGGTAAATATTTACGGCACAAAGGAACGTCGAGCAATTATTATTTTTTTAAATCGCATTTCAAGTTCACATCAAGCGGGAAATGGTATAATTAAGGCCACGGCGCGATTTCGAGCGTAAATCAGAATCTAGAGCACAATGTTATATACATTAATGAGCTAATTTAATGGCATCCCTTAAGTGCTCACATACGTAGGTACGTTTCCAAGGAAGCGCTCGCGTAGAAATTATTAAATTATTCAGTTTCTCCACCTCCATAATTAGTTCAATTGCAATTTACGGCGGAGGTTCATTTTTCAATGTTGCAGATACAAATCTCGCCGCCCTTCACACTCGACGTGCGTCCCTGAGCGATGTGGCCTGAATTGATCAGTAGCACAATGGCAACGACACGTTCCGCCAACGTTTTGGCCGTCTACGCCTTCACCCTCATCTTAGTAAGGGCGGCGGGTGGTAAAGACCTTTGGTCTAGCACTATCGTTTCAGGGACTATCGGCACAGATTCACAAAATGGATGACGTCGACAACAGATTGGAGACGGCATCCGACAGTCCGAAGAACGTAATTGACTTCGTGCTTTTCTCGAATCTTCTGCGGAATTACAGCTTTTACGATCCCCGTCCAATGGAAACAAGCTGGGGCATCAACGTAGCAGTTGATTACGGTTACGATGATTTCAGCGCGAGCAGTTCATCGCAGGAGGGGCCCCCTGAAGAAGATTACCGCTACGAAACGCCCACCAAGCTCAACAAGAAGAAAGCGTACGGAAACCGTGACAGAAGGAGCGTCGGTCGGTTACTGAGCCTGAGGAACAAGTACGACGACCCTAAAGTCACAGCTGAGTATTACGACAAAAAAGGTATGACGTTTGTGGCACTCATGTGTCTCACTTCTTCAATTGCAGGGGGGCAGGATGAATAGAGAGGGCCCGAGGAGGAAGCGGTTACGATGTACATTGACTTTGACTGCACAGTTTAGAATTAAATGTTTCATGGTTTATAGTTGCCCTTTTCTGACGCACTTACTTAATCCCAAAGCTGTCTTTTTTTATCCTACTGCAAGTTCCAAGATTACAAAATCGAGATGTTCTTTGGAAAGATGCATTCGAGACTAAAATTTTTAGGGTCTCAAGATCTCGAGATCGCCACAAGGTTTAATGGAAGCGTGAGGAAGGCGGGAGGAGATATGAAATAGGCGAACAGGGTGGGAGGGTTTGGTTAAGGTTAAAGTAAAGCAGGGGATGTAGAAAACGTGAAGAAGGTCATCTAAAAGCCTAACGGGGTAGGGGAAAGCGTTAACAAGATCGAAGAAGGAGAGGGAGAAGCATTAAAACTGAAAGAAGCGTGAAGAAGGCACACAGAAACTAACAGTAGACCATAAAAGAGAAGAAGAGAAGAAAGCTTAGAGAATCCACCAAGAGAAAGACTGAACCAGGCCCAAAGATGGTTTGGAGGATTCGTGAAGTGTGTAAAAGGCGTGAAGGATACCTAAGGCATCGTGCGTAAACAAAACATAAAGGAGTGAAGAAATCTCAAAGGAGAATAGAAGAAAGATATGCAGAAATGTGGTCGAAAAAGAGAAGTAGGTAAGGAAATTTTGAAGAGGGCCTGAATAAGGCTCGAAGAAAGTCTTCGGTAAGCGATAAGAAGGCTGAAAGCTTGCATGAATAAATTTCAAAAGAGATATGAAGAAAGCGAAGGAGAGATAAAGAAGAAGACTCAAAAGATAAGCGTAAAGATCTAGAAAGGAGAAATCTATCATGCAGGTCATTAAAAGAGAAGTGAAGAACGGTTGAAAGCGGCTTGAACAGATCTAAAACACAAAATAGTCAAGGGAGGCGCGAAAAAGACTGTAAGGAGGTCTGAAGGAAACGTGAAGCAGTCTCGAAGGAAGGGCGAAAAAACCTCGAAGGAGTGAAAAGTCTCGAAAAAGACCAAAAAGTTTGAAGCAGTCGTCAAGAGGTTTATAGGAGGTTAAAAGGGGTATCAAGGGCTTAAAGTTGGGAAGTTTAAGGAAGCTCCAAGGAGACACTAGGTAAGCGGGAAGAAGGTCTACCACGAACATTGAACAACTCGCGAAGGATGAGTAAATTTCGAAAGAGGCTTAAAGGGCGAAGAGTGACGAGACCTCGAAGAGACGTGCAGAAATCTTGGGGGAGGTGCAAATAGGGGCGCAAAGATTTCGGGGGCGCGAGAAAAGGTCAAAGGAGGAGTGAAGAAAGGTCGAAAGAGGCGTGTTTGAGGCTATAATGGAAGGCGTGAAGGGAGGTCCATGAAGGCGTGAGATTGTATTGAAGGAGGCGTGAAGAAATATCGAAAGCGACGCGAAAAAGACTCCAAGTGGGAGCGAAGAAAACTCTAAATAGGTACAGGGAAGACTCGAAGAAACGCCAGAAAGGCGGCGTAAAAGACCTCAAAGGAATTGTAAAGAAAGCACGTAGGAGGGTCAAGGGGAAGTAAAGAGCGGTTGAAGGGAGCCTGAACAGATCTCGAAGGAGGCGTGATGAAATCATGAAAGATCTTGAAGGAAGCGTGAAGTAATATCGAAGAAAGGGCGAATAAATCTCGAGGAGTGTGAAAAGCTGGAGGTGGCGTGAAAAGTCTCGAAAGAGATCAAAACGCGGATACTGCAGGTGAGCGAGAGGGAAAACTAAGAGACCAACGCTTTTCCTACCGCTTTTCCATTGGTCGCATAAATCGACATTGCTATACCAGTGCGACCAACACAAGCGCGATAAAGAGAGCGCCTCTCATTCACCTGCAGTATCCGCGCTGAAGATGTGAAGGAGTTTCCTGAGGTGGAGTGAAACGTATATAAATAAAACGTACAGAGTTCAGAGCATTCGTTGTAGTTAAAGAGGGGGTGGGGGGATCTACTAGGGGGTGTGGATGATATAAAGCAACTAACATAATTCGTTTAAGAGAAGTGAAGTAAGTTGAAAGGTGAGAAACGGAAATGTGAAGAGAAAGAGGGCCCCTTTGGAGTACCTTCCTAACCGACACTCCGCTGCTGAGATATGAAGAACTATATATAAGGGGTTGAGGACGTGGGATGTTGTCTGTAGAATTTAATTACTTTCGTCGAGACATTTAATTGTACCATGCAGGCTAAAACCAGTTTCTACCTCCTCCCCCACCTTCAAACACCCACACTGATCTTGATAAGGAGTCGTGGAGGAAATGTATAGTTGGTATAAACCGATTTCTTTCAATGAATCATTTCATTAGAATACTATGAACGTTAGAGTGTGTATGCCCCCCTCCCCCTCTCCCTCGTGACACCGATTTCCAATGTTTTACATGGCACCCCTAGAGGCATGCGTATGCAAAATTTAGAACGACATGCTGCGACATGTATGCGCGTTTCTCTTTACGAAACAGGGTGACGAGGAAAAAATTTCAGGTGGGGGGGGGGGGGGAGATTAACACAATAAAATTTGGAATTTGGCACTCATTTAAGGACTATGATATACCTATTGCAAAAAAATTGCACGAGTTCAGAAGATTCGATGCAGTCGGAGAGAGGTGGGAGGGAGGAGGTGTCAAAAGGGGCAGTAGGTGAGGCGTGACGTACGCGACAAGCAAACATCCTGGAAGAATGACGGAGAACCATACATTCAAGAGCGGCAAAGTAAGCCGAAGGGTGTAGGGCGGTCGGTGGGGGAGTAAGGAGAAACGTATGACCATAACGTGCATTTAGCGGGCTAGTAGAAACTAAAGCAATCCGCTCAAGGGACACGAGGTAGGGTAGAGGGTGGTGGCCGTGGAGTGAGAGTGAAGAGCACATATGAAAGAAGGGGTAAACTAAAGCAATAGCAAAGAGTAAATTATTAAGTATTCTTTGGCAATACGTTCGATGAAAGTGAAGCAAGGTGAATTGGGGGCGGGGGTGGGGGTGGTGGTGTAGTGAAAGAAACGTAAGAGAGTGGCGGGAATGTGGCGTCAAGTAAACGTAAAGGTACGTGAGTGACAAAAACGTTCATGCAGTATGTAGAGGGTGAGAAGAGGACGCGTAGGGAAGAGTGAGATGGATGAAGTGAAGATTCCGTAAACAAAACAGGGTGAATCAGACTGATAGTGTAGGCAGGTGATTCAAGGGGTTGTACATACCTATGGGCGCGAATGATGGTCAAAAAGACTTAAAGAGTGGGTGAAGTATGCTAGATGGTGATGCGAGGTGAATGGGTGAAGAAAGCGTGACTTTAACCACTTCCCAAATGTAACAAAAGCGTACCTACCACATTTAGTGCAAGGGAAATCGTAATTTTAGTTACGCCACTGTTACCTTCATATCGAACTAACTGTAAGCATCTTTTATGAAAGCACAGCGGGACAACCACCCAGAACGCTATGGAAATACGCTAATTAATAAAATAATTGCATAAATTTTAAATTAAATCAATAACGGTTAAAGACGCGCGCGCCAAAATCGATAAACAAAATGCACCAATCAGCGTCCAGAATTGCGTGACATTGCGCTGTTGCACAATTCAATAAGAGCCATAAGTAATTGAAACATTTTCCATCAATTATCAGTTATTTAATGTGACCAGCCTTCAAGGCAAATGTCTCTACTGCAGGAGAATCTCCACAATCTCACCCAGCAGTTAATTCACCACGTTTCCGGCTTCCAGGTAAGTCCTAACCTCAAAATTTCCTTGTTTACATACAAAAACATCTCGCAGCTCGAGTCCGACGAGTTCAAATGCATCGAAAAGGCGACCTTTCGCAAATTGCAGCACGTCGACACCTCCTTCCGACCGAATCGCAAGGAGATCGACCGCGTCGTGCGAAGCTTGTGCGACAAGTTCCGTTTCCACGGCTTCCCGAAGGAGGCCGGCGACCTGCAGCGTGGCTACGGCGCGCTCCTGTCCGGAACCGAGGACGAAATCGCCCGTCGACTGAGCGTGGTCAAGCTGCTCGTCTCTCTCGCCGAGAGTCCCACTAATAACGTGCAGAAGAGGGCGCGTGTCCAGATTCGCAAGTACGACGAGGAGGTAGTCGACTGGCCCAGGTACTTACGCGAGGGGATTCCCCGGTGGACGCCTCCGCCCGATGTCGACAGTAGCGTAAGTCTCACCCACCCCCATCATAGTGGTCTAATTTGCAATTTGTAGGAGTCCGATTCGGATGTGGTGGACGAAAGTGTTATTGACACGGTTGCCGGTCGACCGGTGGCAAACATCAATCACTTGCAGTTTGTCGAATCAGAACCGATCCCTCCTTTGACATATAAACTTAGCAGAACGAAGTTGGAAAATAGTGTGCAGTCGTACTGGTTTAGTCGAGAGAAATGTCAGTTTCAACCGCCCAGCGATGACCGTGAGGCAAATGTTACTCTGCTATGGTTTGTTTAATTTTAAATTGTCTGGATTGGGTTTCTTAACATTTTGAATTGATCTAATTTTTGACCACCTTGTATATTATAAGGAAATCTATATATACACTCTGGCATTCTATTATAGCAAGCATGGTAGAAGTGAACAGTTATGATGTATCAAGGAAAACTTGTTTTATAAGGCCCTGTATATTGCATTTTATTTTCTAGGGAGTGTGAAGGTTGTGATTAAAGGGCAACAACCATTTTGGAACTCCCTGTGTGCTATGTTATTTTTCAACCTAGATATAGAAAATAATACACGAGATAGTGTGTTATTAAATCTCACGCTTTTGCGTTGCTGTAATTTCTTAGGGAGACATGTGTCAGAGAACATCAATGATTTTCAGACGCCCTATATATATTACATTTTTTGTGTCTGAATTTGATGTGTAGTACCTACAACCTTTTTCTTGTTCACCCTGTATATATTCAAAAAAATAATGCTCTGAGATAGCTGTGATTATTATTTGGGAACTCCCTGTATCATATGTTTTAAACCATTGATCCAATATGAATATTATACGATTTTTTCTCGTCTACTCTGTATTAAGAGATGTTTTCGTGATATTCAGTTGAAAAATTTTTCATTCCGACGCAGGGCGCTTGTGATCAAGAACAAAATTCGTTTGGAAACATCCTGTAAGTATATTGTTTAAATTCTTTAATTTTTTGTCCACTCTGTATAAAGAATATAGCTATGTAATGGGGTTGAAAAATTTGATTTTGGCACATTTTAGAAGTGGGAAACTTGTGGTCGAGAGTAGCAGTCATTTAGGAAACATCCTGTATGTTTAACATGTTTCAACTTTTGACTGTATGTGAATCATTTGATTTTTTTGTCTACTCTGTACTTAAAAAAAGTTTGCTGTAATATTTTTTTGACAAACTTTTTACGACGCATATTTTTGAAAAGTACGAGCAATATTATTTGGGGACACCCTGTAAGTATATTTTTCTAACCATTAGTGCAAGGTCAATGATACAGGTTATTTCTTGTTCACTCTGTATTAAAACAAAATATTGCGAGATTCTGTTGAAAAATTGTTCATTTCGACTCAAGTATATTTTTGAAAAGTTGGAAGCTTGTGGTCACGAACAATGATTATTTCGAAACACCCTATAAGTATATTTTTCTAACAACATTGATGCAGCATGACTAATACCATTTTTTCTTTTTCACTCTGTATTTAAAAATATTATCGTGATATTCTGTCAAAAAATTTTCCATTTTGACTTACATTTTTCAAAAGTGATAAATAGCGATTATTACCGAGCCACCTAGCCGGTTCAAGATTTTGTCCGTCTGTCGTTTATTTGGAAACTCCCTGTAATGTTTTTCCAACTATTGATCCAATATGAATTATACGATTTTTTCTTGTCCACTGTGTTTTAAAAAATGTATTGTAATATTCTGTCGAAAAATTTTTCATTTTGAGTCATGTTTTTGAAAAGTAGGAAGTTGGAAGAGTAACAATTGTTTGGAAACATCCTGTATTTACAGGACTACTATTTTTTAACTATTGATGCAATGTGAAAGATACGATTGTTTCTTATCTACCCTGTATTAAAAAAATTTGGTCGTGATGTTCTGTTGAAACACCCTGTATGTATATTTTTTTAAATATTGGTGCAATGTGAATCCCACGATTTTTTTCCCTCTACTCTGCATTAAAAAATGTTTTCGTGATATTCTGTTGAAACATTTTTTCTATATTTTGACCATATGTCTATATTTTTGAAAACACCGTGTATGTATATGCAATGCGAATTATACAATGTTTTCTTTTCCATTCTTTTTGAAACATAGGAAGGTTGTGATCAAGAGCAACAATCATTGGGAGACACTCTGTATTTTTCTGCAATGTGAATGATGCAGGCTTTTTCTTATCCACTCTGTATTAAAAAAGATATGGTGATTATCAAAGATTCGATGCATATTTTGATAAGTGAGAAGCAACAATCATTTTTAAATGCCCTGTATGTCATATTTTCTCAACTATTGATCCAAATCATATTCTTGTCCATTCTGTATTAATAACATATGTTTTTAACTATTGATGCAATGTGAATGATACAATTGTTTCTTGTTTACTCGGTATTAAAAATATAGCTGTGATTTTGGGTGGGAAAACTTCATTTCGTCGCATATTTTTGAAATGTGGGAAGCTTGTGAACAACAATCATTTGGACACGCTCCGTATATTATATGTTTTCATTGATATATAAATCATACTATTTTTCTTGTCCGCCCTGTATATAAAAAGTACTGGTGCGATATTATATTGAGAAACTTTTTTAAAAAGTTGTGATCAATAATTTTGAAACGCCCTATATGTTATACTTTTTTGCAATATAGATCCAACCTGAATAACGATTTTTTTGTACGCCCTGTATTAACAAAAATATTGCTGTGGTGACGCATATTTTGATATGTGCGAAGCAACAATCATTTTTAAATGCTCTGTATGACAAAGTTTTGATCCAATGTGAATCATACGATTTTTTCTTGTCCATCCTGTATATAAAAAATGATGTGATATATTGAAGAAGTTTATTTTACATATATTTTGAGAAGTTGGAAGCTTGTGATCAAAAGAAACAATTATTTCGAAACGCCCTGTATGTTTTTCTTTCTAATATTGATCCAACCTGAATCACGATTTTTTTGCACGCTCTGTATTAAAGAAGTATTTCTGTGGGAAGCAACAATTATTTTTAAATGCCCTGTATGTCATATTTTTGCAACTATTGATCCAGTGTGAATCATACAATTTTTTATTGTCCACTCTGCCTTAAAAATATTGTCGTGATAGTCTGTTGAAAAATTTGTCATTTCTATTAATCCCACCCCGAATTGATATGTAAATCGTACTATATTTCTTGTCCACCCTGTATATAAACATTATTGGTGCGATTATATTGAAAAACTTGGAAGCTTGTGATCAATAGAAACACCCTATACGTTATATTTTTTTCTAATGAGGACGACCACAATCATACGATTTCTTCTTGTACGCCCTCTATTAAAAAAAGCATTACTGTGATACCATTTCGAAAAACTGTATTGCGCGCATAGTGGGAAGCTTGGTATCAAGAGTAACAATTATTTCGAAACTCCTTGTAAGTATTTTTGTTTAATTATTAATACAATGTATACTACGTATTAAAAAATATATTTCTAATATTGGGTGGAAAAACTGCATTTCGACCCATATTTTTGAACAGTGAGAAGCTTGTGATCAGGGGCAATAATCATTTGGAAACGCCCTGTATGTCATATGTTTTTCAATTATTAACCCAACCGCGATATGATATGTAAATCATACTATTTTTCTTTAACAAATATTGATGTGATATTATATTGAAAAACTCTTCATTTTACGCATATTTTTGAAAAGTTGGAAGCTTGTCAAGAGAAACAACAATTTTGAAACGCCTTATATGTTATATTTTTTCCAATGAGTATTTATCCAACCTGAATCATACAATTTTTTGTCGCCCTGTATTAAAAAAATATTGCTGTGATATCCTCCCAAAAAAACTCTTCATTTCGCGCATATTTTTGAAAAGTGGGAAGCTTGTGATCAATCGTTGGAAACTCACTGTATTTTTTTTTAATTGATGATGCATTGTGGATCATACGATTTTTTGTCTACTCAAGGTATGTAAATAATATGATCTTTTATTAACCACCCTGTATATGTTTAAAAGTTGCTTTGTGATTTCTGTAGAACAACTATTTCGACGTATATTTGGGATAGCCGGGAAGTTTGTGGTCAAGAGCAACAATCATTTGGAACCGCCCTGTATGTTACATTTTTTTCATTGATGCAATTCTAAAATTGTATGTAAATGGTGTGATGTTTTCCAGTAGTAAGGTAATGCCGATTCTAAATATGACCTTGAGCTGTGGTCATTGTGCGTTAAAGGTTGTTAATTGTAGATGGGTCATTAACTTTATTGTACGGGAGGATGACCTTTTCAATTTAAAGGTCGTTCACCTCAAAGGCACTGACCTTTTGATAAAAGGTTATTGAACCCGTTGTCTACTGAGTTCTTAAACCCTTTAGCTTAACGGTTTTGATCTCTGCTAATTCCATAGTGGGGCGCAGTAATTATATAACCCACTCGTCGTGTATATCAAATAATCATGGCATGGCTAGCGTATGCTGAGCAATCGTGTCCACTCTGTATATGTGATTTCGAGCGAGGAACCTTTCATTTTGACGCATGTTTTTGAAAGGTGGGAAGTTTGTGGTCCAAAGCAACCATTATTTGGGACTACCCTGTATGTTACTTTTTTTTTGCATTGATTCAATCTTGTAAATTACATGATGTTTTATTATCCACCCTGTATATGTTAAAAAAATTCTCTGTTGAAAACTTTATTTTGACGCATATTTTTGACAAGCCGGAAGCTTGAGGTCAAGAGCAACAATAATTGTGAAACGCCCTGTATACATGTTTTCAACCAATGTGAATTATACGATCTTGTTCTTATATACTCTGTATTAAAAAATGTACCCGTGACATTCTGGCAAAAAACTTTATATTTGGACGCATTTTTTTGAAAGGGGGAAACTTTGCTTTTGTATATGACAAGATCTTGAATGGACTTTATGCGCCAATTATGCGCTGTTTAAACTAATTGTTTAATTTCGGTTTTAATTTTCTCGTCCCTGTGTTAGAAATTGGGCCGAATTTGTCAACTTTTAAGCTATTCTTTTTCGTAATAGCTATTCGCATGGTAATTATGCGCCAATTGTGCGCCGACAAAAGAAAAGAACAACTGAAGATTTTTTACATCTGGGTGGCTATGCGAGGAAAAATTGGATGAATTCAGAATGCTGAGCATCTCCCCTCGAAACCGTCCCTAATTTGGTAATACTTGCAGGGACAGTTTCGTGCAGGACCTCACGAAGGGTTTGGTTCCGATCGACAGCTCTACAATGATCTCGGAATACAAAATGCTAAGAGAGATAATCTGGCAGTTCTACAAGCCGCACCAAAGCGCTTGCTTCCATTTTCTCAACGACAAGTTGACGGTAAAGTCGAACGTAACGATCGCGAGCGTGCGTCACGTACGTAAAACTAGAGCGCGTGCGCCTTTGGTTGCTAAGTTTTCTTGTAGGCGGCGTGCGAGTCGTTACTGAACGAGTTCGTCGACTATATCGAGTGGGTACAGGAGCTGAGGGAGTTCTGCGACTCGCTCACCGATGAGCATTCCGATACGTACCACAGCTACGCGGTCGGGGTGCAAACGATACTCGACCCTATCTTCGCGCGACTAAGGGAGATAGAAGATCGGATCAAGTCGCAAGGTAAGCCGAATCCACTAGTGAGCGCGCCACAATCCAGCCGTTACAGAGTCGACTTTCACGCTTTTATCACTGGCGAACTGTCTGAGGCAGTGCTTTGAGACGGTGAAGCTTCTACTGGGCATCCACAGGAACATCACACTAACCAATGGCTCGCCGACGCTCCACGCCACAACGCTACTCTCCCGTCTGTATCGGGGGCTACGTTTCGCCTCCTCCAAGCTGGAGCAGGACATTTATTTAACGTTGTATCTTCATAGTTTGTATAAGTACCTAACGATCATCAATAATTGGTTGGAGAGCGACATTTTAAACGATCGCAGAAATGAGTTTCTTATCTTCGAGTAAGTCGTAAACGACCCCCTGGTTGGTGCGCTTACTCTTAGTTTGTTCACAGTGAAAACCCGAAGGATGCTCGATCGGTGGACTACTTTCAAGGCTCCAGGTTTGTTAATAAATAATAATAATTATTGTCCTACAGAAAAAAGAATCCATTGGTTGACGTAACAAATTAATTCAAAAGCAGTTTGATGCTTTCAATGCGATTTCGGAAACACCCTGTATACGTTATTCTCAACGGTAGCGTTTTATGCTCAAAGTTTTGTTATTATCATCTTCAGCTGATAAAGTGGGGGGAGAAGGTAGTGTAGTTCAAGTCGCTCGCCACCTGGTGGTGACTTTGGAAAGTAGACGAAGGTGAGTGCAACGTCCCAGTGTAACTTACAATCGATCACTCATTATCTCGTTCGACAAGAGATCTATCACCCACGCTTTTATTCAAAACCAACCTACATAAAGTAGGTTCTCGTTAGTTCCTTGGGAACCGTAATTTTCTTTCACGGATGCTGCGCCATTAATAATTGCATAAGGTAATGTTTGCCTTATGAGATTTTCAATTTATTCTCAAACGCGCTTTGATCTCGTTCGACGAATGCTGAGCATCGAAACCGTCCCTAATTCTTGCAGGGACAGTTTCGTGCAGGAGAAGGGTATCGACTCTACAATGATCTCGGACGCTTAAAATTGCTTCCATTTTCTCAACGACAAGTTGACGGTAAAGTCGAACGTAACGATCGCGAGCGTGCGTCACGTACGTAAAACTAGAGCGCGTGCGCCTTTGGTTGCTAAGTTTTCTTGTAGGCGGCGTGCGAGTCGTTACTGAACGAGTTCGTCGACTATATCGAGTGGGTACAGGAGCTGAGGGAGTTCTGCGACTCGCTCACCGATGAGCATTCCGATACGTACCACAGCTACGCGGTCGGGGTGCAAACGATACTCGACCCTATCTTCGCGCGACTAAGGGAGATAGAAGATCAAAGTCGCAAGGTAAGCCGAATCCACTAGTGAGCGCGCCACAATCCAGCCGTTACAGAGTCGACTTTCACGCTTTTATCACTGGCGAACTGTCTGAGGCAGTGCTTTGAGACGGTGAAGCTTCTACTGGGCATCCACAGGAACATCACACTAACCAATGGCTCGCCGACGCTCCACGCCACAACGCTACTCTCCCGTCTGTATCGGGGGCTACGTTTCGCCTCCTCCAAGCTGGAGCAGGACATTTATTTAACGTTGTATCTTCATAGTTTGTATAAGTACCTAACGATCATCAATAATTGGTTGGAGAGCGACATTTTAAACGATCGCAGAAATGAGTTTCTTATCTTCGAGTAAGTCGTAAACGACCCCCTGGTTGGTGCGCTTACTCTTAGTTTGTTCACAGTGAAAACCCGAAGGATGCTCGATCGGTGGACTACTTTCAAGGCTCCAGGTTTGTTAATAAATAATAATAATTATTGTCCTACAGAAAAAAGAATCCATTGGTTGACGTAACAAATTAATTCAAAAGCAGTTTGATGCTTTCAATGCGATTTCGGAAACACCCTGTATACGTTATTCTCAACGGTAGCGTTTTATGCTCAAAGTTTTGTTATTATCATCTTCAGCTGATAAAGTGGGGGGAGAAGGTAGTGTAGTTCAAGTCGCTCGCCACCTGGTGGTGACTTTGGAAAGTAGACGAAGGTGAGTGCAACGTCCCAGTGTAACTTACAATCGATCACTCATTATCTCGTTCGACAAGAGATCTATCACCCACGCTTTTATTCAAAACCAACCTACATAAAGTAGGTTCTCGTTAGTTCCTTGGGAACCGTAATTTTCTTTCACGGATGCTGCGCCATTAATAATTGCATAAGGTAATGTTTGCCTTATGAGATTTTCAATTTATTCTCAAACGCGCTTTGATCTCGTTCACGTCCTCGATTTTCCTTTGTGAGAGGTATCCTCTTTGACGTTAAAATAGAACGAAGAACGCGGTCGTAATAATTTAGCGTTGAGGCTCATTTCATTCAACGTAGCAAATCGCATGTTTCGCTGATGGCAACTGCGTTTCTAGCACACCTGGGCAAGGTCTTCGGTTTTCGGTACGCGAGGTCGTCGAGACAGACGACCCGATCGTAAAACTGATTTGCACCCACATCCTGGAATTGGGCAAGAATTTCCATCTGCTAAGGCTGATGCAGCAGAGGCACCCCTCCGCTCAGCCGACGGAGCTTCACAAAGGTGAGAGTCGCCGACCGACGGAACCGTGAGCGAAAGTGTTTGCGCAGATAGCTTCTACGAGATGTTCAAGCGGAAGGTCTTGGAGAAGGTCGCGGTGTACTTCGACCGCGAGTTCGCGACGGTGACGCCGGACACGGCGGAGGAGGCCGATCAGCCCAGCTTTATATTTCCGGTCGGTTGTCCCGACGAGTGTAAGTATCCTACCGAAATGGACAAACTGGAAAACCTGGTGGACACCGGGGACGGCTTCTTGATCAAGGCGTTCGCGGCGTACTTCGTAAAAAGGCCGCAGGAGGTGACGGTTTGCGAGCCCAGCCTGTTCGAGAAGTGAGTCCAAAGCCCCAAACCAAAACCGAGTAACGAAATCTTGCAGAGTTCAAGATCTGACCCAAGGCTTGTTCCCCGCGCAGAACATCCTACCGGGCGCCTTCATGGAAATTCTGGACGAGCGCTACAGCAAGTTGGGAGTTATGGTCAAAAACGCCTTGGTCAACGACTGCGAACTGGAGAGGCACTTCCTCTTATTGCAGAACGTTTTCCTCTTCAAAGACGACATGATCTTCTCATTCTACCACTTCTTCTTCCACGTTGTAAGTAATCCTCAACGCCCAACCACCCCTAAACCGCACGCTTCCAGCTGGACTCGAACCGCTCGTGGAGCGTACAGACCTCGCTAACCTCCCACTTGCAAGACACCATCGCGGACGCCTACCCCAAACTGTACAACAAAGCCACCGTCGATCTCAAGGAAAATTGGCAGTTGAGCGCCGATCCCGTAGTGGTCTGCCAAAAGATCAACATCCAATACAAAATCGAGTGGCCGATCAACATCATCATACGCGACGAAGACGTCCAAATGTACAGCTATCTCTTTCAGTTCATCCTGAAGATCAAGTGGGCGTTGTACACACTGAACAACTTATCTTTCACCGAGTTACAGCCAAAGAAATCCACCGCGCCTCTTGCAAGGTCAACGAAAAAACTGGTGATCCTACGTTTCGGATTAGTGAACATCTTCAGCAACATCCAACACTACATTCTCGGGCACGTCTTCTCCGAGCTCTCGTTGAAGTTCAAGAGGTCGTTCGAGAACGCGTACGGTTTGGAGAGCGTGACCAGAGCGCACGCGGATTTCATACGTAGCCTGCACAGGGTGTGCCACGAGTTCCAGGAGCGAGAAAGGGACGGATACGGATTCTGTCTGGTAGGTTTCGGCGGTTTCGGCTTTGGTAATTGGTAAATTTGCAGTTGCTGCTCCTAGTGAAGAAGCTGGCTACGATGTGGAGGACTATCGGCAACGTCGCCGCGAGTGAGGTGGATCTGTGCGAGAAGACTTACTGGAAGTGCCATTCGAAAATGGAACCGATTATCAATCCTACCGGATTTTGTCTGTGATTGTTTGCCATATGTATTAAGTTGTAATATTTATACTAATTAAAGAGTTCTTTATATGTTTTGCATTTTTAATTACGTTTCAGTGTAAAAAGTGTAAAAATTTTGGGCTTCCGCACTCAAAATTGCGCTTAAACGCTTACAAACACTTTTGGACCTCCCTGTAATCTTGACGTTTAGTCATTGTACCATATGTGGACCTTTCGGTGCAAATATTGGAATTTGAAAACAATAATTATTGATACTTTTTTTGGGCATCCCTGGTTCAAAAAACACCAACATATTCAAATTTAAAATACTTTGTTCCCTCTATTTTATGGCGTCAAAAATGACAATTTAGTATTTTCGTTTCACATTGTTACGAAAAAAATACGACTGCCGTAGAGGGCACTGCAACGAATATAAACAATTTGGACATCCCTGGCACAAAATGCATGATATAGGTTTTCAAACGTAATTCGTAAATTTTTAGAGATTTTGGTAATCCCTGATCAATAATCGTGTTTCGGGTTTCAAAAAATCGAATCTTATCAAGGTGTTCCTAAATATGGGAGTTTTGACTATCCCTGGTCCAAAATCATCTACCAGGTTTCAAAAAATTAAAGTTTTTGTGTAGGTGTGACCATTGGTCCTAAGAAAATGTACTCTCAAGTACAAATTTTGTGTACCAAACTTGAATTTCATGGTGTTTTTCTGAAAATCGGTTTTTGAAGATGAATTTTGTACATCTACAACCCAGTCTGACCCACGAATGTCTAGTAACTGGTGGTTTTGGGCTTCCCTGACCCAAAATTGTGTTTTACGAAATCAAAGTTTTTTAGTAGGTTTGACCGTTTATCCTAAGAAACTGTACTCTTAAGTGCAAATTTTGTGTCAACAACCCATACAGGTGCACGAGTGTTTATTAGCTGGGGGTTTTGGACATCTCTGGCTCTAATTCGTGTTCCAGGTTTCGTAAAATTAAAGTTTTTAAATGAGGTCTGACCTTTTACCCTAAAAAACTGTAATTTTTAGTGCAGATTGTGTGCATCTAAACTTCAAACATGCATTAGACTATTTTTATCACAAAATCGGTTTTCAAGAAACATTTTGTGCATCTATAACCCAGTTTGACCCACGAATGTCTAGGTGACTGGGGGTTTTGGCCATCCCTGACTCACAATCTTGGTCCAGGTTTCAAAAAATCAAAGTTTTTTTGTAGGTGTGACCATTGGTCCTAAGAAAATATGCTTTTAAGTGCAAATTTTGTGTACCAAAGCTATAAGTTTGAGTTTGATTATGTTTTTCCGAAAATCGGTTTTTGAACAACAATTTTGTGCATCCACAACCCAGACAGACTCCTAGTGACTAGGGGTTTTGGTCACCCCTGACTCAAAATTATGTTCCAGGTGTCAAATAATCAAGGTTTTTTAGTAGGTGTTACTATTACTCGTTGATATTTCTTAAGAAACTGCACTAGTGCAAATCTGTATACCCAAGCTACGCCTAGTGACTAGAGGTTTTGGTCTATCCCTGACTCAAAATCAAGTTCATCCTAAGGTGTCAAATACCATCATGTTTTTCCGAAAATCGGTTTTTGAACAACAATTTTGTGCATCCACAACCCAGACAGACGCCTAGTGACTAGGGGTTTTGGTCACCACTTGCTGTCCCTGATAGTAGGTGTCGAACTGTACTTTTACTTTTAAGTGCAAATCTGTATACCCAAGCTACAAACTTGAGTTTCACTGTGTTTCTTCAAAAATCGGCTTTTAAAGAAGACATTTGTGAATCCACAACCCAGACAAACGCACAAATGTCTATTAGCTGGGGGTTTTGGCCATCTCTGGCTCAAATTCGTGTTCCAGGTTTGAAAAAATTAAAGTTTTTAAATTATGCTTGACCATTTGCCCTAAAAAACTGTACTTTTTAGTGCAAATTGTGTGCATCTAAACTTCAAACATGCATTTGACTATTTTTATCACTAAATTGGTTTTCAAGAAACATTGTGTGCATCTACAACCCCAGTCTGACCCACGAATGTCTAAGTGACCGGGAGTTTTGGTCATCCCTGGCTCAAAATCTTGTTCCAGGATTCAAGAAATCAAAGTTTTTTTTGTAGGTGTGAACATTGGTCCTAAGAAAATGTGCTTTTAAGTGCAAATTTTGTGTACCAAAGCTATAAATTTGAGTTTGACTATGTTTTTCCGAAAATCGGTTTTTGAACAACAATTTTGTGCATCCACAACCCAGACAGACGCCTAGTGACTAGGGGTTTTGGTCACCCCTGACTAAAAATCATGTTCCAGGTGTCAAATAATCAAGGTTTTTTTAGTAGGTGTTACATTACTCGTTGATATGTCTTAAAAAACTATACTTTTAAGTGCAAATCTGTATACCCAAGCTACAAACTTGAGTTTGACTGTGTTTCTTCAAAAATCGGTTTTTAAAGAAGACATTTGTGCATCCACAACCCAGATAGACGCACAAATGTCTAGTAGCTGGGGGTTTTGGCCATCTCTACCTCAAATTCGTGTTCCAGGTTTGAAAAAATTAAAGTTTTTAATTTGTGTTTGACCATTTGCCTTAAAAAACTGTACTTTTTAGTGCAAATTTTGTGCATCTAAACTTCAAACATGCATTTGACTATTTTTATCACAAAATCGGCTTTCAAGAAACATTTTGTGCATCTACAACCCAGATCTGACCCACGAATGTCTAGGTGACTGGGAGTTTTGGACATCCCTGACTCAAAATCATGTTCCAGGTTTCAAAAAATCAAAGTTTGTTTTGTAGTTGTGACCATTGGTCCTAAGAAAATGTACTTTTAAGTGCAAATGTTGTGTACCAAAGCTGTAAGTTTGAGTTTGATTATGTTTGTCCGAAAATCGGTTTTTGAACAACTATTTTGTGCATCCACAGCCCATACAGACGCCTAGTGACTACGGGTTTTGGTCATCCCTGACTCAAAATCATGTTCCAGGTGTCAAATAATCAAGATTTTTAGTAGGCGTTACCATTGCTCCCTGATATGTCTTAAGAAACTACTTTTAAGTGCAAATCTGTATACCCAAGCTACAAACTTGAGTTTGACTGTGTTTCTTCAAAAATCGGTTTTTAAAGAAGACATTTGTGCATCCACAATCCAGACAGACGCACAAATGTCTATTAGCTGGGAGTTTTGGCCATCTCTGGCTTAAATTCGTGTTACAGGTGTGAAAAAATTAAAGTTCTTAATTTATGTTTGACCATTTGCCCTAAAAAACTACTTTTTAGTGCAAATTGTGTGCATCTAAACCTCAAACATGCATTTGACTATTTTTATCACAAAATCGGTTTTCAAGAAACATTTTGTGCATCTATAACCCAGTCTGACCCACGAATGTCTAGGAGACTGGGGGTTTTGGCCATCCCTGGCTCAAAATCTTGTTCCAGGTTTCAAAAAATCAAGTTTTTCTTTGTAGGTGTGACCATTGGTCCTCAGAAAATGCACTTTTAAGTGCAAAAATGCTTTAAGCTTGCATTTACCTGTGTTTTTTTCAAAAATCGGTTTTTGAAGAAGAATTTTGTGCATCCATAACCCAAACAGACGCACGTATGCCTAGTAACTTGGTGTTTTAGCCATCCCTGATTCAAAATCGTGTTCCACATTTCAAAAAATCAAAGTTTGTTAGTATGTGTGGCTATTGGTCCTAAAAACTGGGGGGTTTTGGCCATCCCTGGCTCAAAATCTTGTTCCAGGTTTCAAAAAATCAAAGTTTTTTTGTAGGTGTGACCATTGGTCCTAAGAAAATGTACTTTTAAGTGCAAAATTTGTGTACGCAACCCAGTCTGACGCACGCCATGTATTGTAAATGGGGGTTTTGGGCATCCCTTGCTCAAAATCGTGTTCCAGGTTTCAAAAATCAAAGTTTTTTTTAATGTTTGACGTTGCCGTCCCCACCCCCAATCTTTAATTCCACATGACATTCCCTTTTAGTGGGAGGGGGCATGTACCTCTCTGATGTGTGAATTAACTAAAATTAGCTGAATTTGCGTTAAATTAGCAAACATATTTGCTGTAATGCAATATAATCACAAATGCCCAATTAGGGGCTCTTCACTCAGTATATGTCACTAGATTGCATTTGCGAGGTAGCAAGTTGCGCGAGAAGCTTTGGAGTGGGGGGCTGATGGATGTTAATAATGTGTTCCTTTCGGCTCTTCATGGGGCAATCCGTCGTGAACTGTCTAAATTAAACCTGCAAATTAATCTATAATTAATTTAGTTGGGTCGTCCTCTGTCATAAAGGAATAGACATTTTAGTTGCTCTAACTTAATTAAATGCCCTCGTTAAAAACCTTTGCCAACATTCCGCGATTCTTTTGCGCGGTTTAACTCGAAAAATGTAATTTCCGTCGTTTAGAATTTGAAAAAGCAAACATTCCAGTTAGTTTGCTTTCATGGGAGAAAGGCGAAATGGGAAAATATTCTTCGAGCGCGGACTCGCTCGTTTTCTTTTAAAACGTTATTGACAAAATATATCTTTTTGCAAAATGAGTTTCGCGCAATAATCGTAGAAATTCTCCCACTCCAGCGGCTCGTACGAATATCCTTCTTGTTCGCTGTAATTTCCTTTTCAGGCTTTCAACGTGAAATCGTTATCGGAGGTGACCTCGACTTCACTAAAATTTGTTGAAAGAATCAATCGGAGCCTTTCGCTTCAGAATCGCATTTTAACTAGCACTAATTACCGATTTTATCAGAATTTCCATTGCTAATTAACTCTAGTTACCTCTGTTCACTTGACCTTTTCCGCTAATTAGTTGTCGTAATTAAACTTTGTGTTAATTATTTAGAAAGTCACATGTGCGAGGAATGTAATTAGTTTCTTAATTGAAATTACTTAAATTATGTTTGGAATTTGTCCATAATTGTCAGAAATTATTAATTTGCAATTTCGTCCAGATAAATTATCCTTAATTAATTAGTTTCAATTTTCCCTACTTTGACTGTACTAACCTATACGTCAGTAAGGCTAGCGTTGGGTAATTCGGTTTGGCTTCTCTCTTTATGATTGCAATCAATATTATGCTCAGTTTTTGTCTTTTTACAGTGACACAATGGCGCAATTTTTATCGGCTCTCGCTACCAAGTGTAATATGTAGACGTCACTAACCTATACGCATATTAGAAAGAAATTAAGTCCGATTCTTCGATAATTGTCCAGGTTAATGGAATCGATCGATGTGCAGCTATGTAACAGACTGTACAAAAATCAAATTATTCCGCTGTTTGTTTTACTCTCTCCGCCCGCGTAGTTTGCAAATTGTATTTGAAACAGGGAAAAGTACTTACAATTCGTTTGGCCTCGATCGACACGTTGTCCTCCCCATCGTCGCCGGTGAAGGACTTGCTCTTCTCCATGAAATATTGACCTCCGACCCCGAGATGAACCATCGCTGCTTATTGTTGCTCGTCTCGCGCGTCGCTAAATTGCGAATTACACGTTGTTATACTGTTACCGTGTCCTCTAAGCGTCGACCCTTTGCCATTTTGCAAATTACGGCGCTCACGCCAACGCCGTAATCCGTAAATCTGCCCTGTTTGCGCTAGAAGTGTTGTCGCTGATTGCTTTTGTCTCACTTATTTAGCAAATTTTGTTCACATTCTAACGTACCGTACAGGGTGTTGCGATTTCGATAGGCTTGACCGAACTTAACAAGTGGGCGACCGAGATTTCCGATTCTCTTACACTTAATTACAATTACTTGTAATTAACCCAATTCAAAGAATGTATTCAAGCAGGAAAACAGCATAGCACGAGTAATTAAATTACAGAATTAAAGATGCTGTTATTTTGAAAGATTTATACACACATACTACCACGACAACTACTCTAAAAGCATTTAAGAGCCCCAAAAGTATAAAAAATGATAGGCCTTAAAGACAAATTCTAAGTGCTTTAAATGCTCTAAAAGTTACCAAGTGTCTTAAAGTTGCTTTCCTTTGTCCCAATCTTTGTGAAATCTGGAAGTATTCTCGAACTGTGAAGGGTTATGGAAGGTCTTGCAACTTTTTGGGGCCCTGGGATGCTCTGAGCGACTTTGAAACTGTTTAGGGCTCTTAAGGACTTTTAAAGGTCACCCAACGACGTGTAAGGATTTTATGATCAGCCCTTTAAACACTTTCTAAGCGTGTTTTTGAGCATTTTCAAAGTTTCTAAAAGGCTATTTGTGGTTTTCAATTAACTTGAAAAATTGATTCGTTATTAAAGACCCTAAAAGCCTCCAGATTATTTCCTGTAGCCTTAGAGAATTTTGGAAGATCGGGGGTGGCATTTAAGGGCTTTAAACAATGCAAACACCTTATAGCTCGTTAAAAATTGGATATTGGTACTTTAAAGAGACTTTTAAAAGATTTATTTATTTTTATTTTTATTTTTATTTTTTTAATTTTTATTTTTATTTTTATTTTTATTTTTATTTTTATTTTTATTTTTATTTTTATTTTTATTTATGCTTGCTCTTAAGCACTTAAACACTCTAGAACATTTTCTTGTACACTTAGGTATAGGGGTGGTCCTTAAGGGAGGACTTTATAAAACCTCGAATCCAGTTACAAACCCTTACATCTCATTCAAAAATTGATATTGGCAGAAATTAAACATTTTTTCAAGGCTCTTAAAGGCCTTTAGACACCCATATGTGCGCGTAAAGGCCTTGAGGGACAAACAAAACACTTTTTGAAGACCCTTAAATGCGTTTAATTAATTTTTTATTTCGTTAATGGTCTTAAAGGTAAAATATCGACATTGATGTTTTCAAAAATAACCAAAGGTCTTTTAGAGGTCACTAAAGGGTTATGTAGACTATTGAAAAGTACTGAGGAGCTAACATTGTGCCTATTAAAGGTTCACAAGACCTCTCAAAGGCTCATCTCTTAAAAATAAGGAAAACTCTAGAACCCTAAAGGCTTCTGGAAGACCCTTTGGGACCCTTGGTCGCTTTTGGGGATAGTTAAGGGCCTGTAAGGTCCTTTAATTACCCATAAAAGCCGTTTAAGGCCCTTAAAACCAGCCTCTTAAGCGCTTTTAAAGCGTGTCAACAAATTTTTCGGCTCCTAAGCGTTTTCAAAAAATCTCTTCCTTAGTAACGTTTGGAATCGCATGACACCTACAAATTCTATTGGTCGGTATGAAAAATCGGTTCGATTTTAAAGATGTTTGATTACTTGTACCCTTTAAAGGCCTTTTAAGGAAGTCTTAAATTCAGTTAGAAGCACATATCCCATTAAATATCTTCAAGATACTTGAACATTCAGATAATGGCACCATTAAAGATTATTTTTAAAAAAAACTTGATGGCATTTAGACCTTAGGAGCCTTTTAGGGACCCTAACGGGCTACATTTGGACACTTAAGGGTTCCTAACGACTTTTAGAGATTTTCCAATATACGCATCCAAATTATTTCGATGTCCTTGAAATAACCTCGAAACCTACAAATTTTCTCGATTAAGATCCACTTGAATTTCTCAGCTCCTTTTCTCTAATTTGTTGAAGTTCTTTTCAAATCTTCCCGCAGAGTTCTGAGAACTTTATTCTAAATCTCCATATGGCCTTTTCCAGGTCCTCTCGAGCTCCACTTAAGGTCATCTGGACGTGCATCTTTTCGAAAATTTCTCTGAGATTAACCCCAAAACCTTCCTTGGATTTTCTTGGAATTCTGTTTCTCTTTTCAAAACCTTTCCGGTGAACTTGCAAGTTTTTCGAAAACCTTCGAACTCGACTTTCTAGAAAATGGGTGAATTTGGAATTTTCGGTAAATAATTTTGAAATTTCGCAACCCTTAAGATCCATAAAAACTTTTAAAGGCCCTCTAAAGACTCGGGAAGACTTTTAAGCAAATAAGGCTTTGTAAAAGTTGTAAGGATTGAGAAGGCGACTGTAAGGATTTTATGGTCAGCCCTTTAAACACTTTCTAAGCGTGTTTTTGAGCATTTTCAAAGTTTCTAAAAGGCTATTTGTGGTTTTCAATTAACTTGAAAAATTGATTCGTTATTAAAGACCCTAAAAGCCTTCAGATTATTTCCTGTAGCCTTTGAGAATTTTGGAAGATCGGGGGTGGCATTTAAGGGCTTTAAACAATGCAATTACAACACCTTATGGCTCGTTAAAAATTGGAGATTGGTGCTTTAAAGAGACTTTTAAAAGATATTTTTATTTTTATTTTTATTTTTATTTTTATTTTTATTTTTATTTTTATTTTTATTTTTATTTTTATTTTTATTTTTATTTTTATTTTTATTTTTATTTATGCTTGCTCTTGAGCACTTAAACACTCTAGAACATTTTCTTGTACACTTAGGTATAGGGGTGGTCCTTAAGGGAGGATTTTATAAAACCTCGAATCCAGTTACAAACCCTTACATCTCATTCAAAAATTGATATTGGCAGAAATTAAACATTTTTTTCAAGGCTCTTAAAGACCTTTAGACACCCATTGATATGTGCGTGTAAAGGCCTTGAGGGACAAACAAAACACTTTTTGAAGACCCTTAAATGGTCTTAAAGGTAAAATATCGATATTGATGTTCTCAAAAATAACCAAAGGTCCTTTAAAGGTCTCTAAAGGGTTATGTAGACTATTGGAAAGTACTGAGGAGCAAACATTGTGCCTATTAAAGGCGTTCACAAGGGCTCTCAAAGGCTCATCTCTTAAAAATAAGGAAAACTCTAGAACTCGAAAGGCTTAAAGGAGACCCTTTGGTACCCTTGGACGCTCTTGGGGACATTTAAGGTCCTTTAATTACCCATAAAAACGTATAAGGCTCTTAAAACTTCATCCTAAATCTCCCTATGGTCTCCAGGTCCTCTCGAGCTCCACTTAAGATCATCTGGGCGTGCATTTTCTCGAAAATTTCACTGAGATTTTGAAATTACCCAAATCATCACTTCCTGAGGTTAACCCAAAACCTTCCTTGGATTTTCTTGGAATTCTGTTTCTCTTTTCAAAACCTTTCCGGCGAACTTACAAGTTTTTCGAAACCCATCGAACTCGACTTTTTAGAAAATGGACGAATTTGGAATTTTCGGTAAATAATCTTGAAATTTCGCAACCCTTGAGATTCCTAAAAACTTTTAAAGGCCCTTAAAATGTACTCGCGAAGGCTTTTGCAAGTATGGCTTTGTAAGAGTTCTAAGGATTGAGAAGGCTGCTGTCGAGACTTCGTTCCGACTGTCATTTAAGGTTTGTGTGGACCTTTGAAAACTGTGAAAGAGAAAACATGTTGCCTCTTAAAGGCTCATAAGGATCCTTAAACCAAAGGCTCGGCTTTTGAAGAGAAGACATTCTCAGGACTTTAAAGGGCTATGGAAGGTTTTGCAATTTTTTGAGGTCCTTAGATGCTCTGGGGAGGCTTTTAAACTGTTATTGGCTCTCAAGGACTTTTAAAGACCCCTAAAAGGACTTCACCCTTAAACACTTTCCAAGCGTGTTAAGAGATTTTTTCAAAGATTCTTAAGGGCAATTAGTGGTTCTCAAGACTTGTAGACGTTCACTTTTGTACGGGGTTTCACCAGGATTATTTTAATTTTTGTTTTGTTACTTGACCTGATGAATCCCCTTACGAACGTGGGCGTTCTACCTGGAAAGTCGCTCCCATCTTAATACTGTGGCCGTGGATGTCTCCCCTCTGACTTTGACTTAGGAGATTTTGGAAGCCTTTACAACCTGTAGGTCCTTATATTCCGTTAATGGTCTTGACGGCTCTTCTAATATCTTACCCTTAGACAGAAAACATTAGGCCTCTTAAAGTTTCCCAAAGGCTCTTAAAGACTGAAAATCCCTTTCAGAATCTGAAAGACTCACAAAATCTCTAAAAGTCGCTCCTTTTAATTGACGTTAACTGTCAGATGTATTTAACAGTAACGTGAAAAAAAGGTACTCTTCATGGATTTTAAATGGTTAGAAAACTCCAAAAGCCCTTACAAGTTTTTATAGACTCTTGCGGACCTTTGTAAGCTTTTAGAAGCTGTTAGGTGACTCTTTAAGGGCGCTCTGTTATAAAATAGATGCTCTCCCTGTTGCTGAAAAGCAAGTTCTACGAACGCGTTTGCTAAAAGAAAACCACTAAATTGTTTCCTCAAACTCTCGTAAACACTTGAGCATCCAAGTGGATTTGATCGAGTTAATTACGCGGAACGTAACTTTGGTCGAAGAAAAACTGTGTCAAGAGCTCGTCTATTTTCACACAGTATAACTATCGATTCGTGGCGATTCCATTGAGAAAGAGCGAACTCCTTGCGACGGCCGTCGGGTCACGATCGCGTACTCCTTGGCACGGTATTCTTGATTCTTATCTGGTCGCCTTTATTACGACAAGGTTAGCGGGGAGACACGCAAATTGAAAAAGGGATGGACAAGGTTGGCCGATCCCTCCGGACGTACGCTCGATCGAACGTAGTCAAATTGCTTCGGAAGTGGCGTTTCAGGTGTTTCCATTTGAATTTCTCACACTTTTCGCTACGTGTATGGTGACGGAAAATCGTTTCCGTCCAAAGTTTCCACGTTCTTGCCTACTCTTCCAGGAAACTTCGCTTTAGACGGTGTTCTGGAAATGGCGACGGAACTGTCTTGTACTGGGGGAAAAGCCTTCAAAGGCGTTTAACATTCGCAAACTGTCTCCATCAGAGATTTCAAGATTGCCCCTTTGGTGGAGAAGTCACTCTTACCCTACCTGCTGACGCCGGTGTTCAATGGGAA